TGCTCAAGTGCCTTGTTATCCTGCTTGAACTACAAAAGGCTCCAGCTCTGAGGCCCTGAGTGAAGGCAGTACTACAAAACCTTCATAGATTCACTTGAACACCTGATTCAAATATGGCAGGCTTACTATTTCACAGTTCATACAATTAAATAATATAAGGCTTCTGCATTATCACATGCTGTAACATGGCACAATCGAGCAATGGTAAATCTTAGCATATGTAGCAGTTCAAGATGCCAGCTAGATTACACTGGTGGCATACTAAGGACCACTGTACAAAGCAGGTAATATAGTACTGCTGAGATTTACACTTTATCCATTGCTACATGGGGCTGAATCAGACTCGTTTTCAAGCCCTTCAGTAAAGGTTTTGGGCCTACAGACCTCCCCCACCCATCCCTCCGCTTCCTGTATATGAACTTATGTCAAAAACTCCATTGCTTTCAGAAAAAAACAACACACTGATTTTTTTTTCAGCAGCTGAGGATCTAGGCAAGTGAGTTTGCCTATGTGAGGGCAAGAGATATAAAGCCAATGTAACAATTAAGCTCATTAGGCTGTATACAGATAGCTTACAAGTTCGGCACACATGAGCTAGAGCTTTCTCAAGCCTCCAGTGGAGGACAAAAATAAATATATAAATTTTATCTATACCTACATTATACATATAAAATATCTATCTATGTATCTATATAGTTATAGACAAATAAAATATATTGATTTTTTTTGTCCTCCCTCCACTTGCTGCCTCCATGAGGGACTTGAAAGCTCTAGCACAGATAGAGCTGTTAAATTATACCACAAGAAAAACAGCCCTAATGATGCATCTTCTTTGGTGCCAAGATGAAAGTCATCTTTCTGCACTGAGAAAGCTGCAGGTTAACACAGACAAGCACATAACCAAGCCTAAACAACATAAAACAAGCCCATTCTGGGAAAAAAGGGGAAAAAATTAGGTTATGAAGGTTTTCACTGTTCTGCATTGTACTTGCTTCTGGCTTGGTGAAGGTAAGCACTAAAATATTTTCATTACTCTTCCTCATAGGACAAGTAAAATACTAATAAACAATATGGGACTGTGAAAATTGCCATATAGGATCAGCCTCCTAGTCACCTAGTTTCTTTCTCTAATAATGGCTTATCATGCTTATTGGGAAAGTACTTCCTGGTCTCAGGAACCTGTTAGTTACTGTTTGCTGCAAGGGTTTAGTCTCTATGCCGTTTACCTAGTGGAGGTGTGCTTGTTCCCATTATCTACCCAGACTCTTGCTATTCTTTTGGGATCAATTACATTTTGTGGCAAGCGGTTCTGCAGATCACGTGCTGTACAAGAAAGCATTTTCTTGCAGCATTTCTACAATTCAGTGCTATTTATTGCCTGTGTGTCCTGTCCCTCTATGAGAAGCATAAGTAGGAAAACCTAGCTTACCTTCTTCTGTACTGTTCATTTTTTTACCTCCACTGCTCCCCCTAATTTATTTTTTCTTTACACTAAACAGGCCTAATCTTTGAATTCTCTCATCCTTCTCAAAAGTCTTTCCATGCCTCTGACCATATTCCTTCCGAATGTTGGCTCTCTTCTTCATCTGAAAAGGGGGTGAAGTACTCTGTCCTGAGCAGAGCAACCTGTATCTAAATTAAGATGGAGAATTTTCTATTGGATGTGCCGAGGCAGACTTCTGTTGCTCTGCTAATAGAGCAAATGTCAAATCTAAAGGCACAGACAGAAGTGACAATTTTCACCCAATCTGGCCCCTGAAAGCACTCTACACATCCATGGCCAAACACAAGTGCACAGCTGCAGAGCACTTTAAAAGGGCTCAGTCCCATGACAGTCTGAACTCTCATTGCACGAGGGTTCAGATGAAGATGGTCCAAAACCGAGCACCTTCATTGACATCTTTTAGTGCAAGCCGGGAGCAGGGCTCCGCTGAAGCAGCTTAGCCCTGCTCCCAGTGCTGTCTTCAGAAAGGAGGTGTGTGGGGAAGGGAGCTGAGGGAGTTTGGTTTGGGGTTTTCCAGCTGGTGCTGGAGGATGGGGCAGGTGGATTGGAGGGTGGGGGCAGGGAGGGGAGAAGGGATGGGCTAGGGGAGAGTGGCTCCAAATTGCAGCTGAATCCCCCAGCCCCCAGGATCCAACAGTGAACATCTGTTGTGTCCAGGGGATTGCTGCAACTAAAAGCTCTTCCTGCCAAGCGCTATGAGTTAGGAGCTCCACTTCTGTCTGCGCCTTAAGTCTCTAGCCACGTTCTATTTTGCATCACAACAGCCTGAACCACACGCACGTATGCACAGAAACAGACACACAGGTCAGGTACAGACATTACACTTCTACTGATCAAAAACCCATAACAGAAGTTCAGCGCACAAAACTAGTCTATACCCATAACAGAACAGAAATTCAGTGCACAGACTGGTTTAAAAATGGCAGAACCTGGTCTAAGATTCCCCCCACCCCAACAACCAAAGGTGAATGCGTGTTCTGTTCACTCCCCATCTAAACTACACCACTTACAGAAAAACACCTAACTTGGTTCACCTCAGGCTTTTTGAATGCCTGTACCTAGCTGTACATACATGCATCCTGCCCCCCCCCCCAATTTCCCCCTACATGACTAAGTTCTTCCCCATGCTGCATCCTCAGAACAGATTCAATACTGCCCAGGTATGTCATAGTTTCCTTTATCACATATCCAGCTTACCTAGGACAGTGGAGTGGCTATACAAAGAACTGGTGACCTGTTGGTTTTCAGGTTGCCCCATGCACTGCAGGCCAGAGTCCCTTCTCATTTACATTGATGACAATCCACTGGGGTAGATTCTGCTCCACTCCTACAATATATGGCCTGTGCAGGTAAGGCATGCGTGGGAAACTAAAGCTGTGGGTTGTGAGACCAGCAGTGGCAGCTCCAAAGCAGGGGGTAAGAAAACACCTTCCAATACCTGATGACCCCCTCCAACCCCTTTCCTCCCAGCCATCACCATGCTTCTGCCCCAAATAACCCTGAGATTCTGCCAAGTGGGATCTCTTTCCTGAGACAGGGTCTAGGCTACCCCCCCAACACACACACACTTGTGCACCCCCAGCCACCCTAGTGTAAAAATATAACAATGGTCTTTACTAAACCCAGTCTTTTTTTTTTTTTTTTTTTTTAACTCAGTGCTTTTGAGAAGGGGGAGCAGAAAATTACAATTCCATGCCACAATGTCATCTTCTTGCCAGCTCTGCTTGCTTGATTCTTTCAGCATCTCTCCTTCAGACATTTAGTTATTTAATGTAATTAGTAATTAAATTTAGTTACTAGCGTATGAAGGCCACACATACTCATGTTGAAGGTGGCTGCTTCATTTTGGTAGATTCAGTGTGGCTGTTAGGCAAATGCCACAGCAATTTTGAGGTAGTAAAATATGAGTAGTTGGGATGTACTGAATGCAACGCAACCATGGCTTACCCAGAGGTACCAAAAAAGCACCAGACTATATTGCAATATTCATAATACTCCACAGACAATGTGACTTTATTCACAAATGTGATTTTTACAGAGGTAGAACAAAATACTTTGTATAATCTTTTTTTGTTTTAATTATATACATATAAAGAATCTAATAGAACTGAATGAACAAGAAAGAAACAAAACATCATTATGCCATCAAATATAGTACAAACAGCATGCATCAGAACATCTTCAAATGAGAGCTTGCTGGTGTATCTTTATTTTTATTTGAATGAAAATGAAGAGTAGTGGAAAAAGCATCATGCTCTGACTAGATTCAGTATGCCAAGGCTTTGTATTTTTTTGTTATATATATATTTTTATTTACTTTTTTTTTTTTTTTTTTT